CAGACTATCTTGCTCAAGTCTCAGAATCTTCAATGCTTGTTTAGTCTCTTCCTGATAATCAGCACAATCATTCTTAAGACGCTCTATTTCGTGGTCCTTCTTTCTACATTGCCTTTTTAGACCATCTATTATAAGGGTTGATTCTTGCTCTTTTTCTTCAAAAGCCCTTAGCTGAGCTTCCATGACTTCAACCCTCTTGTTTAAGGCATTGACCTGCAATTGTAGCTCTTCACTGACTAACGTTTTAGTGAATGCAACAGATGGTTGGGGTATCCCTCTATTTTTCCTCCATTCTTCATATTCATGGGATGTAGATACTTGAACCTTTCCGAGTTCTTTATCTCCCATGTAGACTGGTCTTTCCCATGTTTTCCGGACAGCAGATACTTCTTCAAAGCTATGGGAATAATGGCATAGACTCAGCCCTCTAAGCTCTTCCTGAGTTGGTGCGGTCTGGGTTCTCATAAGTTATCTCATAGCCATCTTAGGAGAGTAGGCTATACAACCTCTAAGACCTAGAAGTGGTATGCTCAGGTAATCTCCGCATTGTACGAGAATATAACCGGGTCGGAACCAAGGGCAAACCCATGATACATGCTCTATGTTCCAGTTTTCTAACTCGGTTTTCCACTCTAAGGCTTGACGATGTTGAAGAGGGATTTTTGAAAAACTCCTTAGAGGATCAGGAAATATGCCCATGTGGCTTGAAGCGTAGAAGTGAGTGACGCCCCATACGTATAGCAATGAAGTGCAGCATCTAAGTGTTTTCCCCTGTTTCTGTCGGCAAAAATCTACGGAAAGCAGGGTGTCAGCGAGGATTGCAGGTATAGGACTCTTTGAGTACACATCCCAGGCAAAAAATGCATCTATTGCAGCATGATCCACAATGTTCACATGAAATGGGAATAATATGATTCCAAACATTGCCAATGCTAGAGTTTTGTTGAATGTAGACCAATCTTTCTTTTCAGCCAGAGAAACTAAGTGGTCTTCTATTACAGCCATTTTCCAACCTCTGATATTCCCTTTTCCCTCTAGGGTGGATTGATGAGGAGGCAGTCGTATGATAGTAGCAACCTTACTCACGGCTACGTATACTCCCGAGCAAACATAGACCCCAACTGACTGAGGCCATCTGACCATGAGTTCATATTCTTCTAAGGTTGGTACCAAATCAAACTGCGAGAATTCAAAGCAGTGTAGATTGGGACTCCAGAAGTGGACCAATGCTTAACAAATATCGGATCAATACTGATCTTCAAGAGGTCAAGAATTCTTCCATAAGACTTCTCAAAACTAGCACAGACCTCTGGCGGCATATATGTACACAACTGCCTTAACTTCTCTACACGGCATAAAAGGATCTCCACTTTCTTTAATTGTCTATTACCGGATCCCTCCATTATCTAGCAAAAGTGAAAATGCATGATATGAGGATGAATTTTTTGTAAATGCATATATGCAAGTGTTTATTTTTCTAAGTATTATCATGTTTTATTCCTAATATGATGCATGATAGTACAGGGTTTTTATTGAAAAGAAAGCTTATCTATATGAATGTTTATGGATTTTAATGAAGAGAGTCCTATTTTCTTCTCTTTTTATTTTTATGAGCAACAAGTGGTATGAATTATAGGACTTTTATTAAAAAACTTTAATTTTGTAATAGAGGTATTTTCATGGTTTTGATTTGTTTTTATATTTTTTATGACCCTTTATCTCTTCTGTCGGTCAACGTGGCTACTTAGCTTACAAAGAACCTGAAACCAGGCTAGCTTAATTGAAGACTGTCCGAGATAAAGGTCTTTTATCTTATCACTTTTTGTGATTTTTAGGGTTTTTCATTTTTTGTTTGTTGTATGATTACCCTATGCTAATGCATCAATACAAATGTAGCAAACGTATGCACACACAATTCATACATCCACGAGCAGAGTCGTGCTTATTTAATCACGAGGTAGGGTTTTCCTGCAGAAACGTGCTTGGTTTAGGCGGTTCTAACTGTTCTCACCAAGGCCAAAGGTCCCCAAGGTGCCCCCATTATAGGGACCTCTCAATCTCTCAGTCCTCGGGTCATGCACGGAACTCCGTGTCGACATCCTTAGACCAAAAGAAGAGAGTTATCACCTTGAGTTGGTGGTTTTCGACAACGGTTGTAGCCCCGTGTGCCAACAATCCGGTCGTATCTGCCACCCACTCCCTATAGGTATTCACTCTTGCCCCCGGGTATAGAGGGACTGTTGTGTGCAAGGGTTTTGTGTGGAATTTATATTTCAAACAATTTGCAGATATAATCATACATCAATTATTAAAGTCATACAATAAAAATACAGAAAAGGGTAAATGCGTAATTTCAAATCTTTACTTAGTTAGAATTTATCCGTCACTAAATGGGATCAACTCTCTAGCTTCCCCAGTGAAGTCGCCATCTGTCGCCGCTGTCCGTTCTGACGTCCTGGGACGTCTCGAACGTTAATGCGAGCGGTCGCGAAAAGATGGTTGAGACTCGCGTTTTTTGTTAAAAATATGTTCATTACATCCGAGGCGCTCAACGCTGAACTATCCTCTAATAGAAGCAAGGTTTTCGAAAAAGGTTCTTTTGGAGTCGCCACCAATGTTTTGACCATAAACATTGGAAAAGGAGAAAAAGGCATTGATTTTAATAAAAACCAAACTTGGCCATTATAACCAGAGTCGGGTAAGGGAGTTAGTTACGTGTGGGGAAGGTATTAGCACCCCACAACGCCCCTTTCGGGTTCCCTATGACGGATTAATTCATTTAAGTAAAGATTACAAGAAATTACGCTATTACCCTATTTTATTCGTACAGTATTTAAATATGGCTATCTACATGATTTTATCTACATTGCATACAGAAAGCAGTAAATAAAGCAATAAAAGGGAAGAGAATTGAGAAGAACCTCCGAAGCAAGCTTTATATTATAAGTCTTTTATACAGAGGACGCTTTGCGGCAATCCTTCACTCTACAACGACTCTCCTCTCGAATAAACTCGACTCGACTAAAATTTTCTATAAGAATCGAATGCCGGAATACAAATTCCTTAACTGATTGTTACCTATTAAAGGCAATCAGAGAGATCATTCGAAGGAGGGAGAGAAGAAGACAAGTCTTGGAGTTGTCTGGGGTGTGGAGAATGACAAATGAGGCTCCTATTTATAGATTTCGCAGCCTGGACATCTGGGACGGTCGTCTGGGTTGGAACGGTTGTCCCAACTGCAAAATTTACATTGGGCCAAGCTGGGGGGAGAGTGGGACGGCCAGTTTGGGTTGGGACGGCCGTCCCACTTGAGTTTTGGGGTTTGGGACGTGCGTCCGAAAGGTGAGACGTGCGTCTCACTTGCATTTTGCTATTTGGGACGGCTGTCCCAACCTGTCTTGGCCTGTTTTCGCGTTCTGGGACCCCCGGGAAGCTTTCCTTTCCTTTTTCGGACGTAGATTGATGCCGATAGATGTCCGTTGAAGCTTGATCTTCATATAGGTAGTCTTCTTGGCCTTTATTAAGATTCTGGACGAGCTTTATCTTCACGTAGGAAGTCTCCTTAGTCTTTATTGTGTGGATGGGTGAACCCCGTCTTGTTGCGGGAGGTCTTTCTCAATTTTTGATATGAAGCCAGGTGAACTTTATCTTTGTGTGAAGTCTCCCTAGCTTTTATTGAGAGGCCGGGCAAAATTAGGGGTCTACATTTCCTCGATGAATAAAATCACCTTTTGTTTATCTTTACAACTATTTATTGAATTCATCTCACATTCATTCGCATATCCCTCCTTGCGTAAAATTAATAAGATAGTAAAAAGGATAGGTTAACTGATGTGTTTTCATAAATCAGAAGAATGGAGAGGAAACCACTCATCATCAGTCTCTCCTCAACGATTGAGCCACCTAAAGAAGACAATAAGCCTCAACCGCTGGTTATCACGATCAATAAAGAAGAGGGGACAAGGACACCGCTGCGATTATTATGCGTCGTCCTTTCTCCTACGAATCAAATAAAGTTGTACCATGGAAATACGCAATAAACGAAGATATTTCAATATAGCGGGTATTGAGGGCATGACCAGAAGAGGACGAATCTACTCTCCCAAGGAGTCACAAGAAGACGCCCCCAAAATAAAGGAAAAAACAAAGAAACCAAAGAAGAAAACAAAGAAGAATCCAAGGAGGAAGCTGATGAGTTACTCCAGTTCATAAAGCAAAGTAAGTACTCCATCATAGACCAACTCAACTGCACCCCCGCAAAGATAACTTTGTTATCTTTAATAATGAGTTCGGAACCACACCAGAATGCGCTGCTGAGGGTCTTGAACAAAGCCTATGTGTTGCACACCATATCCCAAGACAAATTCGAAAGGATTATTGGCAACATTACAACCAATGATCATCTTACCTTCACCGATGAAGAACTCCCACCTGGTGGGTCAAGCCATAACAAGCCTTTACACATATCGTTCAAGTGTAGAGAATATCTCATCGCCAAAGTCCTTGTGGATAATGGGTCATCATTGAACGTCATGCCTAAGTGCACACTCGATAAATTGACGATACAAGGAGCCCATATGCACCCAAGCAACACTGTCGTTCGAGCCTTCGACGGATCAAGACATGAAGTAGTGGGAGAGATCAACCTGCCAATCCAAATAGGTTCCACTATCTTCAATGTGGATTTCCATGTGATGGACATCACTCCTGCTTACAGTTGCCTCCTTGACAGACCTTGGATTCACGACGCCAAAGCGATCCCTTTAACACTCCACCAAAGAATCAAATTCATGGTAGGTGACAAACTAGTCACAATTCAAGCTGAAGATGACATCTTGATCAGCAAGCCATCTACCCTACCCTATGTGGATGTAGCTGATGAGGCCCTTGAAACATCCTTTCAATTGCTTGAAATTGCCAATGTTGAAAGACTTCCCAACAATATGAAGGTGGCATATATGATGTAAAAATACGGGTATCGCCCAGGCCAGGGACTCGGTATGAATTCCCAAGGAATAAGGGAGCCACCAGATTTTAAAGACAATCCTTTGAAGCACGGCCTAGGGTATGACCCTACAAAGGATCAAACTACAAGAAGAAAGGGAAAGTCTCCCCTCCGCCCACTAAATCAGATCTTCCAAAGCGGAGGGATACAAGCGTCGAGAGCAACTTTAGTCATTAGATGTTCTTCTTTCAATTTTTAAAGGAATGTAAACCCAATGACTATTAGAGATTACTCCCCAGGGCAAGCCCGACCCCCGACCATTTTCAGGGCACATATTCCCCTTTTAATCATAAATAATGCATTTCTTATTATTTGCTTCTTTTCTTACTATTCATGTCTATATCTCATTAATAACCATGTTTAAGCAAACATTTCCAAAAGGCGTCTAAAAATTAAGAGTGTGTTATCATCAAAAAGTAAAATTAACCATCACTGATTGATCAGAAACGCAAGTAAGGTTTTACCTCGTCATAAGAAAGCCATGTTTCGCCAATGTTGTGCAAAAACAGAAAATGAAAATGATAAAAAGAGTCCGTAGAAGCTGAAGGCCAAAAAAGGAAGGGCAATTTACCTGGTAGGAAACCCACAAAGGGGGCTACACAAAAGTTAGAGTCAGCCCGCTAGGAAACCTGAACAATAATAAAGGGTAGCCTAGGTAAAAGATAGGGTTACAAAACAAAGTCCGTTAGAGTTCCTAAAGCAAAATAAAAAAGGAAACCTAGACAAAAGTTAGGACAAAACACAACATCCTAGATTGAAAACCCAAAGGGCAGTCTTGGGAAGTCAATCAGTTGTAATGGGCGCCACAAAATAATCAGGTAAAGACGCAACCTCGCAAACAAACGTTTGTTTAAACTAAGCCTAAATAGTCTGACTAACCTTGGCTAGCCATGCTTACAAATACCATTGTTTTGAAAATAAAAACCCCTTCTAAAACACAAACCTTTGAATTAATAATACTCGTCCTTCTTTTCTCTTGACCCTTATCGATACGATATGCTGGTCATTAACCGGGTAATGTAGAAACATAGTAATCAATAGGAGGATTGAAATTCCAAAAAAGGGGAAGAAACACACTAGTATGGAGAATAGCTCTTCAACACGATCATTCTTCGGTTATGGCAAATCCGAAATGGGAAAAATGGTAGAGCTGAATGTGACACCAGAAGAGCCTCATCGTCAAGGACACATTAGTTAATTTTTCTGAAAATATTAACTGAAATAGCATTATAGGAAGCATATCATAAACATTACATGCATAGATGTTGATGAACATGGTCCTATTTTCTTCAAAAAAAAAAGGTAGCGGATGGTCGTCCACTTAGGCCAGATGGCTGTCTGCCAGTGGCTGTTGGGGCTAGATGGCCGTCCATTCAGAGCGAATGGCCTTCTAGGGGTTGCCGTTGGGGGCAGACGGTCATCCAACCCAGCCAGACGGTCGTCCAGGAGTGGCTGTTGGGGGGCAGATGGCCGTCCACGTACACCAGACGGCCGTCCGCCCCTCCAATTTTTTGCCTATAAATTTAGGTGCCCAAAATGGTTCATGGCATCCCATTTTTGCATTCCCTCTCCCTCCTTTACTTTTCCTTGTATATTTGAGTGTTTTTAGTTGAGTAATAGACCGTGGGTAATTGTCAACACGTCGGAAACACTCCCGGGGACCCATAAGGAGCATCACCACTCCTCATATTCCCACTCAGCTGACAGAGCAGCACCGGACTAGATTCGCCAACATCAGCTAGTATGTCTAGCATCCTATGCTCTGGCTAGACTTCAGGATCCTAACTATGTTTGGTTGGGATCAGGATGTAAGGAGATACATTCAAGGCATAGGGTGGGACTTCCTGCTCAGAGATCCACCTACCCGCATTCACCACACTGCCACGCTGAAATTCCTCGCTTCTATTATGCTCATAGACCTACCATCTATGATCCCTGGGGTTCCTCCTGTCCAAGCAGTTACATACTGGATGAATGGAGCCTACCGGACCAACATCCTAGATGAGTTCAACGTCCTCATGGGATTTTATCAGCCATCAGAGATCCAAATGGTAGAGTACATGGGGGCATATTGTGAAAGGCCAACCACCCTCACCACCGGTCAAATATGGGAAGAGATTACCGGTTCCCAACACATTCCTGCAAACCTGAAGGGGACCGCCTTCCTCCCTCCTCTCTGCATTTGTCACAAGTTACTAGCAGACACCCTCCACAGCCGAAAAGAAAGCCAAGGCAAGGTGTAGACCCCAAATCTTGCCCGACCTCCAAATAAAGAATAGAAGACCTCCTATTTTGAAGATGGATGAAGCCTAACAAGCCATTAGGAGAGACTATTAGGCCCCATACTAGGATAGGAGGGAGTTTCTGTACCAAAAAATAAGTTTTCTCGCCTTGTTGGGACGAGATCGCCGTCTGGACTTCCCAGACCGCCGTCTCGCCACCTGCAAAGGACGAGACGGCGGTCTCGTTTCCCCAGACGGCGGTCTCACCGCATTTGGCAATCGAGACGGCGGTCTCGTTGGACGAGACGGCGGTCTCGACCCTGTCAGACGAGACCGGTGGTCTCGCCACTGACAGGCGCAAAAACCTATAAATAGGGGTCCTCCCCCCCTCATTTCCACACACCTCAAGCATTAGCTCTGCCTTCTCTCTAAAAACTTCTCTCTAGAATCCCTCCGATGCATTTCCAAAGTTTCTGAGTGTATTTGAGAGCATTTTCGGCATCTAGAAGAGTTTCCGACGTCTTGTAGAGTGAAGGGCTGCCAAAAAGCACCCTCTTTTTCAAGAGAAATATAAAAAGCTTGCTTCGGAGGTTTAATTTCTTCCTCTCTACTTTTAACGCTTTAATTTTAATTATGCAATAGATTAGGGCCATGTAGTCATCACTTTAAATTCCGCATAATAAAAAGGGCAAAAGTATATTTTCTGGTTTATTTATTAACAATAAAAGCTGGCCTATCATAGGGAACCCGAAAGGGGCGTCGTAAAGGGACTAATACTCCCTTTTTACGTAACTAACTCCCTTACCCAACTCTGGTTCTAATGACCAAAGTTGGTTTTTGAAAACCAACGCCTTTTAAAAACCTTTTCCGATGTTTCCGGTAAAAACATCGGTGGCGACTCCATAGAACCCAAAATAAATAATTCCTTGGGTTAGCCCGATTATCGGACAACCCAAGGACACCTTTCGAAAATCTCGCCCCTAGGTTAACCCGGTTATCGGACAACCTAAAGGCGTTGTAACCACCCATAAAAAACGTGAAAATCAAAAGGGTCGAAAAACCATCGCGTCGCTCCGACCGACCTTCTCTTTTGAGATGGCGGCGACAGATGGCGACTTCACTGGGGAAGCCTCGAGAGTTGATCCCATTTAGTGATTGGCCGGCTTAAATAATAAATAAACCAAGAAAATAACACTTTTGCCCTTAACTTGTATTTATAACATGTTTTAATGTTTGGCTTTAATAAATTGTTGTTTGTTTATACTAGCGCAAATTGCTTGAAATATAAACTGCACACAATCCCTTGCACACAACAGTTCCCTCTATACCCGAGGGCAAGTGAGAAAACCATAGGGAGTGGGTGGCAAGTACGGTTCGCTGTAGTGAGGGCCTTGAGCCCACCAGCGTGATCGGAAACCACCACTCAAGGTGATAACCTTCCTCTTTTGGCAACAAGACTGACTATGAACTTAGTGCTAAGCATGGTCGGACGACTAGAGAGTGGGAACCCTATAATGGGGGCACCTTGGGGGCCTTAGCCTGGTGAGAACAGTTAGAACCAACCCTTGCCAATGCACTTTTCTGTAGGAAAACCCTACCTCGTGATAAAAACGAAATCTCGCCTGTTCGGGGATGATCGAATTGTGTGTGCATATGATTGTTGCATTTGTCTGTTGCATAGCATAAACAAACAACAAAACAACAAAAGCCAAAAATATTTTTCACAAATAAACACCCTTATCTCGGACAGTCTGCCTTTTAGCTAGCCTGGTTTCAGGTTCTTTGTAAGCTAAGTAGCCACGCAGTTCCGACAGAAGAGATAAGGGACGCTAAAATATTCTTTCACATAAAGCCATATTTTATCTCGGACAGTCTGCCTTTTAGCTAGCCTGGTTTCAGGTTCTTTGCAAGCTAAGTAGTCACGCAGTTCCGACAGAAGAGATAAAAGGCTATAAAATAAACAAACAAATAAAAATAAAATCCATTTTTCCAAAGTCTGTAAATAAGACCTGGTCCAAAAATGTTATACTCATAAAACATTCATATAGATAGTTTATTCTTCCAAAATAAAAATACGCAAACATCATGTAGAAAAACATGATAAATAGAAAATAAACACTCACATACATTCAAATAAGCATCCATTTCATCAAAAATGCATTTTGGTTTTAGAAATGGAGGGGAAAAGTAGACAAACAAAGAAGGTGGACATTCCCCGTTTCCATACTGAGAGATTGGAACGGCTAAGCACTGTAATGCCATCGGAGGTCTGGGCCGACTTCAAAAAATCCTACGGACGGATTTTAGACCTCCTAAAGATATGTGTCGATCAGGTGTTCCTAAGGGCACTAATCCACTACTAGAATCCAAATCTGCGATGTTTCGAGTTTCTGCAGTTCGACTTGGTGCCCACCCTAGAGGAGTATGAGACCATGTTGAGGTGGCCCAAATCATCCGGGGTCCATGTTCGCCACGAAGCATATACTCCTGCAGCACCAGTCGCTGCCCTTATTCAGTTTCCATTCCATCAGAGTACCCTGATAAAGAAGGGGAACACCCAGGGTTGGAGACTAACGATGTTAGAAGACCACCTGTCCTACCTGGCTGAACGGACAGAGTGGGTTGCCTTTAACAAAACCCTGGCACTCATAATTTTTGGAACAGTCTTGTTCCCCTTCCATTTTGACACAGTAGATCAGGCTGTCATGGACGCCTTCTTCGCCTGGGACATGAATTCGAAAAGTCCCATGCCTGCTATTCTTGCCAACACCCTGCTCTCAGTGGAATTTTGTCACCAGAAGCAGGGCAAAATACTATGTTGCTGCTCTTCATTGCTATTTGTGTGGAGCACCACTCACCTGTACGCCTCTAATCACATGGGGATATTCCCCGATCCTTTGAGAAGTTTCTCCAAGATTCCCCTCCAACGTCGTCTGACATCAGAATGGAGGGATGAGTGGGAGCGCAAGGACGCCAACAGTATATCCTGGGTCTGTCCTTGGTTCCGACCCGACCCAGTTCTCATCAGATGTGGGGACTACCCGAGTGTTCCCTTGATAGGACTCAGGGGCTGCATAGCTTACTCACCTAAAGTAGCTATGAGGCAGCTCATGAGGACCCAAACTACCATTTCCCGAGGGGAGCTCGGAGGACTGTGCTTCTTTGGAGACCCATGCACCATCGCCAACTCATTAGCTGTGAGAAAAACATGGGAGAGGCCAGTCTACATGGGAGACAGAGAGCTAGGAAAAGCTCGGGTGGCTGTCACCAGTGACTATGAGGCATGGAGAAATAGAAGAGGAGTGGCTCAATCATCCACCACACCCACCACGAGCGCCAGAAATGAAGGGCTGCAAGCTCAGATCGACGCCTTGACCCAGAGGATAGAGATCATGGGAGCCCAGATGAGGGCCCTTGAAGAAAAGGAGCAAGAATCTATCCTCACGATTGATGGTCTGCGAAGGCAAGGCAAGAAAAAGGATCATGAAATAGAGCGCCTCAAGGACCAATGCGCTGACTCCCATGAACAAGCTATCCGAGCGTCCAAAACTGCCAGAACCAGTTCGGATAGCCAATTGCAGGAGATAACCGCCAGGTCAGCACACCTTGAGGCCGAAGCAGCAAAGCAGGCTCAAACGATCAAGGAGTTGTCGGAATAGCTCCTCAAGACTCGGTTAGACATCCGCCAAGAGCGAGAGGCCAACAGGAGACTCACCAAAAGTCTCTCTGAGCTACGCCACAAAGAAAGAGATGGGCTAGCTCAGTACGGCCAAGTACTTCAAGAGAAAGACCGAGCCGTTGAAAAGCTCGATGAACTACAAGCCTTGGTCGTTCATCAAGAGGCGAAGATCAAAGAGGCTCAACAATACAGTGAAGGTATGAGCCAAGCGGTCCGCAAACAAAGCGAAGCACTTGCTCGTCATGTCCGGGAAGCTGAGAGGGAACTACAGAGGAATCAAGATCCTCCTGTTGGTTTCTTTAAAGTTTTTCACTTTTGCCAAAAGTTGCTTCGCAGTATAGAATAGGGGAATGTACACCTTCTATTGAATAAATAAAATCTTCTTTTTGTGCAATGACTGTCTACTCGCATGCATAAGCATTCATTTGCATATTTAATTTCCCCTCCTTCACGCTTAATAAATAAGATAATAAAAAGGAAGGATTAACTAACACGTCTTCCCAACTCAGAAGAATGGAGAGAAAGCCACTCCTAATAAAGCTTACCCCAACGGTCGACTCGCCGCAAGAGGAAAATA